CAATCAAGCGCTACAGCTTTACTCGGACGCTAAAGGAAACCCATTTCTCAGACAATCAAGAACACCACCGAAGGAAGGGTTTTTCCAAGCGAAAAGACCAATTTATTGAATGGGCGACTGGGTTTCGAAGTAGGGTAATTTTTTGGAGAAAGGCTTAGGTATTCAAAGCAAATTCGTAAGCATCCTGGTCATACAAAGTGTTTTGAAAGAAAAACAATTGAGGAAATATCTTCTGCAAGGAACCTGAGGGAAGGAAACGCGCTCCGATCTGTATTTAAAGGGCCATTGTTGTCGCGTCCTAGGCGGACGACCCTGAAGGTGCCGCAGTTCACGGTTTGCCATGGGCGGCCCGAGATGCTCCGTACTCTGCTAAATTTCACCTGAAAATTTGGATTTCATTAAATTCACTTAATAAGTAAGGTTTTCACTATGAGTGGGATGATATCGAGTGTTTTTCTTTTCTGTTTTGCACTGGTGAGGTGCGTTCTCTGCTGGAACTACCGATTTGGCTATTTTTAAATCATTTGTGTTTTGATGAGAGTTGTCAGCTGTATCAAGCAGCCTTGTTTGGAAAATATATTTGAGTGTTTGTAACTTTACATTAGACTGGTTTCATTGCACAAATTGGGGGGGGGGTTGTGTATTCCCCGTGCCATTTCCATTGCTTTTTTGGATTGTTATTCTGTTTGTCCTTTTTATTTTTATTACTTTTCTAACTCGCGTGAGGTTATTGAACGGTTTGTTTTTTTTACCTTTTTGTGGTGTGTAACTGCCAGTTCTCAGGTACGAAGGGATGTCGCTCAGCCGCATCCTGCCTGCGGGTAAAAGCGCTCGCTTCGTTGTTATTCCATTGCGGTGCACGCACAGTACTGCTCGTAAGTACTTTCTTTTCAAATTTTCATCCCATGTATAGTGTATACATCTTGAGTTGGTCAAATGTTAAACATATTCATCATTGTAGAGGCTGGAGCGGCTCATCATGTTGAAGTTCAGACAGAAGATCTCGACAAGCCATCTTTCTTTGAGAAGATTTCCATGCGTTTCCAAGGTACAGCTCCTGTTCTGTTCTTATTTCCCTCGAAAATACTTTCACGAATGGTTCCAAAAGTGCTATTTAGGAATCCCGTTGAAAGGTGAACTCAAACCACCAAAATCAATCTTTTCGGATTGCAATAAGGAATGGTTTGCACCGAAGCCACTTCCCGAGGTTCCAAAGGATTACAAAGAGCACCCCGATAGAGACTTGGTTCGTCCATTGCTTTTTTTCTTTTGCACTTTGGTTGCTGAATACATTTTGTTCCTACTCGTCACACTACCCGTGAACCTAAGACTTCCCCATGGCTGGTCTTTGATATGCCGCAAAAGAACTCATGTTTACTAAAGGATATGTGACAAGACAATCGTCATATTCATCGCTAGGCGTCTGGGCCTTGTGAACGACGCTGCGCATGCGAGCGACAAATTGCCCTGCTCGACTTTTCAAATTTTGATGCTGAGCGAACGGGAATGTTTGAAATCACTTAGCTGTCTCTGCTTGAATTCGTATGATTTTCGCTGCTTCAATCAACAGATTGAAGGGCGTAGGGAAATTGTCGTAGCATGGCACGATGCGCCGCGCACGATGGCTCGGCAACTTACGACTGTCTTGTTCGTGTCCCTGTGTTGAGTAGGGCATAACGCGCGCAGGAAGTTTTTCAGTGAGAGCCTTTATTCTGTGAAGTTCAACAGCGTCATTTATGATGTTTACCAAAGTGAAACACTTCAGGTGAACTATCCCTATCCTGCGCGGCCAATGTACCCACCAAAGACTCGCCTTCTGATGATGCCGGACTCGTGGTTTACACCATTCCAGAAGGTCACTGGTGTTTCAGGTTTGAATATTCATTGGTTTTTTTTACTCATTACTTTATTTGACAGAAGAGATTGCCTAAAATTTCATTATTTA